ATATATATATATATATATACTGCACAAAAATAATCGCCGTTCAAATGCTACTAAGTTTAGTAAGATAGAAATGTGGCCATTATTGAGTAAACAGTGCCACTTCTATGGTGTGGCATTCTTTCCCAGAATCGGTCCAGGTTATCTAGATGTTGCAATGAGACCCTGGAACTCACTATTCACCGAGCAATCTCGTATGCCAGGCGATCGCTACCGAGCCACTTTCCGCGCTGTTCTTTCTTCCTCCACTTTTTCTTTATCCGATCAGAACGTATCTCCCTTGCTGTCTCCTGCTAGCCTTTCTTTCTCCTTTTTTAAGGAGATCCAAATTCCCAAAGCTCCAGTGTATATGATCGACATCACATCGTTTAATAAGTGGCATGAAGAGAGCCAAATAGATCCAACCCAACCCATGTATACACCCGAGAAACCTCCTCGTGTCTATTGTGATTACCGACCTTTTAAACCCGAGTTTTACTTTAATCTTAGGCGTCAGTTTGCTAACGAATACGCTTACAATATGCAAGCTTATCAGCAAACTTAATTAGAGTTATGGAAGGGGTATTCAGTTTGAAGGGCTAGCCTATTACATAGCTCTTCATTTTTTGTCTGAGAATTTCAACACAACATGATGTACATGATCGATTTCCGTTTGTTCCTGTTGTAATTTTAATTAAATTAAAGATTAAAAAAGTCTTAATTCCATTGTAACTTTCATATCTTTAGTTACTTATGCCTCTAGTTTTCTACATAATCTCCTCCCTAATATATATACCTCTATTTAATCTCACACTAACTTATCAATTCTTTCATCTCTTAATTTTTTTAATAAGTTCGTGCATGGTACTCAGGGGCAAATTGATTACATGAAAATTTTGTCTATGGCGAATCTTATTTTACTTTTTACTACGAGGGATGTACTTTTTTAGATTCTACCTCAAGACCTGAGTTTCGTTCCACTAAGGGTTTACTAAAAGGTTTATTCGTCAGGTGAACGTATGAACCATCAAAAATTATGAATGAGGGTATGCATGCTGAATACACATTGCATTATACTCCCTAGTAGTATCTGCAAAATCGTAACAAGTTTCTTACCTTTTTGAAGATATGAAGACCAAGGAGTTGTGGCATCTGAGATGGTCGCAGTCTCCTTTCGATTTATAGAAGTGGGTTGACCTCGTTGTCGCAACTCTGTCTTCTTGTCAGGGCGATTTAGTAGAACGCATCTAGTCCGAAGTCCTCTGCCATAGTAGTTGTCATGACTCCCAGCATTAGACAGTG